GAGAGAGAGAGACAGAGAGAGAGAGAGAATCTTCTATCTGCTGGTTCACTCCCCAAATGGCTACAATGGCTGGAGCTGGGCCAACCTGAAGCCAGGAGCCAGGAGCTTCTTCCAGGTCTTCCACGTGGCTACAGGGGCCCAAAGATTTGGACCATCTTCCACTGCTTTGGGTGCATAAGCAGGGAGCAAGATAGGAAGTAGAGCAGCCAGGACTCAAACAGGGGCCCATATGGGATGCTGGCACTACAGGCAGCTGCTTTACCAGCTGAGCCACAGCACCAACCTACAATGTATATATTTTAAAAAAACTACTGACACCCACAACAATGTGTGTAGAGGAATCTCAACATGACTCTGACTGAAAAGAGGCAGACACAAAAGAGGACACACTGAATGATTTCACTTGTATCAATTATTACAAGAGGTAAAACCAGCTAGAGTGACAGAAATCAGATCAGTGGTTAACCAGAGTAGAGATAGGGAGGAATGAATGCAAGGGCACAGAGAAATTTCTGGGGTAATGGAAACCTTCTATGTCATCATAGGGATGCTGATTAATCACATACACATGTACGCTAGTATTCACCAAATTTCATTGAATAACACATTTTAAATGTATGCATTTATAACATGCAAATAACACATTAATAAAGTTAATTAAAAACAAGAAGTACAGCATCTAACTTCATTCTGGAAAATTTTTAGTTACATAAATTAAAAAAAATCTGTGACTACGGAGGCAGGAAAATCAGACTGCCTCCAAAGAATTAATAAAAAAAAAAAAACTGTCACATTTCTGGGGCATGCATCTGGCCTAGTGGTTAGAATACAGGCTAAGAGTACCTAGGTTCAATACCTGACTCCAGATTCCTGCTAACGCAGACCCTGGGAGGCAGCAATGAGGGCCCAAGTGATTGGGTTCCTGCCACACACATGGAGACTTGGATTGCATCCCAGGTTTCCTTGGCTTCAGCTCAGGCTGTTGGAGACATCTGGGGAGTAAACTAGCAGACGGGGGAACACTTGTACTCTCTCTTTCTCACACTCTCTCTGCCACTAAAACATATTTAAAAAAAAAAAAAAAGAAAAATCCCAATTCAATCCCATCAAGGTGGCATGTACCAATGCCATCTAACTAGTCCAAGTGATCAATTTCTGTTCACAATTGATCATAATCATAGGACTAAGAGTCAAAGGGATCACATAAACAAGACTAGTGTCTGAAAATACTAACTGATAGAATGAAAAAGGGAGAGAACGATCCAACATGGGAAGCAGGATACACAGCAGACTCATAGAATGGCAGATGCCCTAAACAGCACTCTGGCCTCAGAATCAACCCTTAAGGCATTCGGATCTGGATGAAGAGCCCATGAGAGTATTTCAGGCATGGAAAGCCAAGATACTCTGGCAAAAAAAAAAAAAAAAAAAAAAAAAAAAAAAAAAAAAACCAACACAACACCTAAATGAAAGATCTCCGCAAGTGAGATCCCAGTGGAAAGAACAGGTCATCAAAGAAGGAGGTACCTTTCTCTGAAGGGAGGAGAGAACTTCTACTTTGACTATGACCTTGTCTAAATAGGATCAGAGTCGGTGAACTCAAAAGGCTTCCATAGCCTTGGCAACTCATGGCAAGAGTCTAGGGTGATTACTGATGCCATAAACAAGAGTGTCAAATTGTTAAGTCAACAACAGGAGTCACTGTGCACTTACTCCTCATGTAGGCTCTCTGTCCTTAATGTGCTGTACATTGTGATTTAATGTTATAACTAGTACTCAAACAGTATTTTTCACTTTGTGTTTCTATGTGGGTGCAAACTGTTGAAATCTTTACTTAATATATACTAAACTGATCTTCTGTATATAAAGAGAATTGAAAATGAATCTTGATGTGAATGGAAGGGGAAAGGGAGCGGGAAAGGGGAGGGTTGCGGGTGGGAGGGAAGTTATGGGGGGGGGAAGCCATTGTAATCCATAAGCTGTACTTCAGAAATTTATATTCATTAAATAAAAGTAAAAAAAAAAAAGAAAAATCATATTCCTTCTCAGAAATCCTAAATGAGACGATGGTGATGGACAGGTAAGCTGAATGATGTATCTTATCTATTGTGGATAATGCTGCAAGGAACATGGGACTGAGATATCTCTTGGACATACTGACTTCATAGCCTTTGACATATACTCAGTAGTGCAACTGCTCCTCAAAGGAAGTGACATGAATCTATCTCAACATCTTGCCACCACTTTCATCGAATCCTCATATATTTATTCAGAAGAAAGCATTTTAACACTCCATGATCTGTGGATTATACAATGGATACTTTTCCCTAATTTTTATTGCTAGCTCAGGCATTTGTGGCTATAATAACTTCATCACAATAAGGATGGATTTGGATGTATTTTTGAATAGTATCATAGTCTTTCTCCCAACAGTGCTGAGGAACTGTGGCTAAATAAATTCAGTAGCAGGTGTGGACGACAACCATGGCTTATATTCTTATGAAAAGTTGGATTAAGATCTTTAGAAACTTTGAACACTGGAAACATTACAGTATCCTCCCCACTCCCACCTCACCAATTTTTTAAAAAATATTCTAGCTAGTAGGAGTAAGTGTAAGAACATTAAATAAAGTTTCTATGTTTCTCATTAAAAAAAATCAACTGCAACTTAAAAATAACAGTAACAATATGATTGGCTTTCTCCCAATGCTTTACAATTTGCAAATCTGCAAACACTGTGTGCCAATTTATAAAATTTAATTTTGATTTTTTTCTTAATTTACAGTTGTGTTATGTTTGGTTATATCATTTGTTATGTGTGTCATTTGGTTAAGTTATACTGCCCTAATAATCTAGTCTTATCATTTTGGAAAGACAGAGTTTAGTGTTTTTTTAAGCTTTGAAAATATAAATCTACCTTTTAAAAGTTTTCATAATTTATTTTCATCCACATGAAAGAGCAACAGGGAGAAGGAACGAGCAAGAGAGAGAAATCTTCCAACCTATGGGTCACTCTCCAAATGCCTGCAACAGCCAGGCCTGTCAGGCCAAAGTCAGGGTCCTGAAACCCCCTTCTTGGGCCATCATCCACTGCCTCCCAGGATGTATTACTAGGAAGCTGTATGGGAAGCAGAGCAGCCAGGACTTGAACCAGCACTCTGATATTGAATGTGAACATTTCAAGAAGCAGTTTAACCTACACTGCCATAACACCAGTCCCTGAAAATATATTTTTTGATTATTATATAAACCATGATTGAGACTGAAGGATCAATTAAAATTTCTCTACTACCAACAAAATACTAAAAAGAAAATAAATAAATATTTTTTAAAAAGTTTATACCTATCCAATTATATTCATAAGCAATACAACAAAAAGCTAATCTAAACATGAGAAGAATCAGAAAAGAAACTTTAGGTCCTTCTAGAAAAAAATATGGTAGGTATGCCTCAATCTACTGAAAGATGATTCAAGAGCACAGGAGTGAAGATGGACTAAATACATAGTTCGAGGGTGATGTGAAACTGAATAAAATTGTAAAACAATAATAGTAATTCCTAGAAGAAAATATAATACAAAAGCAAAATAGAGAAATAACATAAGTTCCCAAATCCTAAATTTTATTAATTAAAATTGAAAATGTAAGTGCGGAAAGAATGAAAAGCAAATGTCCATGAAATTTCTTATTTGATATTAAGTCCAGAGATATTGGTTAACTAAATTCTGAAACACCCATCTATGGAATACTTACAGTCAACAAAATAATGAGGAAGCTCTTCATGTTCAGATATAAAATATCTATAAGATAAATTTATTCTAAAGGGAGAAGCATGATGCAAAATTGTGTACAGAGTACCATGATTTATGCAACAAAGGAAAATAACATTATACGACGGAAACTGGTAACTTGGGTTGTTTGGATTAGAGGATACTGAGTGGGAAATTAGAGCAAAGAGGCTACTGCAATGGTTTGTCCTTTGTCTCTGCACAAATGACTCACGTAAATGTTAGGTACTTTTAAAAATAAAATTTTAAAACATATTATTTGTCTTGCTTTTGCTTTAAAAATCAAGTAAATACTCATTCAAGACCTTAGTACACATGAAAATCTAGCTTATGATAAATAGGGTATCACCAATCAGAAAACATGAAAAATGTTCAAGATGAACTTTGAGTCAAAAAAGGCAGAATACCCACTGCTATATGCAATTCTGGAATGATAATATGTACTATAATATAGATTTTAAATAATGGAGAGAAATGCAACAAAATGCTCACCATCATTTTCTGTAAAATTATTTACTATTTTTACTTTTCTGTATATTTGAAGTTTCTGTAATAAATGTGGGAGGAGATACTCTATTTTAAACAAGGAAATACAACTACAAAAATTTTACCAGGCATGAATGTATTCAAGAGCTAAACTGAAAAGAGTTTATTATCACAATAAGTAGTAAGTCATGGATAAATCCTTGACAGTACATTAGCACTTGCCTTCCTTTCTCCTATATCTCTTTGGTTCAGAATATCACGCAGGCAAATAGTGCGTAGAACAGATCTTTTACCAGGAATAAACACAGTGGGCCAGCCAACAGGAGCGCTATCTCTAAACATCACGAATAACCACGTCCAGACACACCATGGCCACACCACAGATAACTCAAACACTATGGTGTTTCCATGACACATTCGCCTGCCCAGAAAGTCTTCAACCAAGACCACCCACTTATGGCCCACAAACCACCATGTGAAGGTTAACTGCTGGAATAATCTCTGAATTGATAATTCTGGCATGAAGAGCCCCAAATCCCCGGTCCAGGCTCCTAAGTCCCCCTCCCCAACTCCTGCTTGCTTTTACTGGCAGGATATTTTACAGTAAGTTCATATCCAACCCAATTAATAAAGGAGTTCTTTAAAGTTTAGAAAAACACTGCTTATTGGGTTCCTGGGTCCAGCATGTGTGTGATACATAAATAAGCAAAGAACACATGTACAGTACCTTCTCGAATCTGCGTTGGCTTGGCAGAATTTTCCCCACTCATTAAAACAACAAAGGATGCAGCTGCTCGAACTGTAGCCTGCCATGTTGACATGGCAACCGGTGGCTCCTGGCATGGAAAAAGGGCCCTGTTGTTTATGGGAGATCCTATAGTATAAACACATGGCCTGCAGAAGAAAGACAAAGAAACAAAGGGGGAGAATCTTTAAAATGAGTTGTCACTTTTCTCACCACCAATGGTAGTGAAGGTTAAGTTGAGCTTTCAAAGGGAAAACATTTGAGGCTTTGTAGTTGACTAGTTTCAAGGCATATTGAACTGGAACTGCCAACAGCTGGTTACGTGACTAGCTGAGTGGTTATTTCTCCCATATGAATTACTTAAATATGTAAAGAGGGATTATTTTTTAAGGAGGAAAATAATTTTGAACAAGGTTTTAAATACAAAGTCTGCCAAGTTATAATTTACATTACCCTTGCCCCTTCCCTGAGGCCTTTATGCCTTCAAAAGAAAGAAAAAAAGGTTTTAGAGACATTCTTACAAACCTTTTGGAAAGTATTCTGGAAAAGAAAATCTGTTTGGAGATCACTGAGATATTAATGCTTGGAAAAACAAGCTGGTGGTCTCAAATCCAGTGCTGGCGGGCAGATATCCCCAATGTTGGAAACCACCATCTCAAATGGAACCCTTGTGGGAATCCTTGTGTGGAGGCCAAGAACAAGGGTTGGCGCATAAACAGCACTGTGGGTCACAACAACCAGGATTGTGACGGGAAGGCCAAGTGTACAGAGACATTACCAAAGCAAGTGTACAAAACCAAGGGTATGACGTTAGGACTTGTTCTGTTGCAGCTGAAAAGCACAAACCCACCCAAACCAAGAAAGATCCTTTCCATGACTGAGTCATGGTTGACAAAGAAGGAAGACTGACAAGATCAAAGGAATCCATTCTTTAGATACCACAGAACAGAAGGCACATGACTGATTCTTTAGGTAAACATCTTAGGAAAGAGTTTCAAGTTTTTGTTTTTCAGGAGTTGTAACAAATATGATGTTGTTTTATTCAGCTTGATTTACAGAGTAAATAAATAAAGCAGAGTGCTACTTCTTTTGGATAAACCGGTTTTCCATTTTCATTAACATCATTATAATTGAACATCTATAGTGTTCCTACAATGTGCAAGAACACACAAATGAAGTTCCTGCTCTGTCAGTCATGGCCCAGAAGTTGAAGAGAAAACTGACCAGGTATTAACGAAGAGATAATTTAATATAGGGAATTGGTTATATAAATGACAAAATAGCTGAGAAACAACCAGGGGACAGGGTTTAGTCTCAACAGAAGTGGCTGTTACTCCCCAAACAGAAGGTGCTGGTGCGTTACTATGGCAGGGACCCTCCAGCAGACTCCAGGGTCAAACTGGAGACTGTCAAACAGAAGCTAGGGACACAGAGGACATTCAGTCACACCAAAGCTGCTAAAGAAAGCATGGAGGGGCTGGCGCTGTGGCGAAGTAGGTAGATCCTCCAACTGTGGCACCAGCATCCCATGGGCACTGGTTCTAGTCTCGACTGCTTCGTTTCCAGTCCAGCTCTCTGCTATGGCCTGGGAAAGCAGTAGAAGATGGCCCAAGTACCTGGGCCCCTGCACCCACGTGGGAGACCTGGAAGAAGCTCCTGGCTCCTGGCTTTGGATCGGCCCAGCTCTGACTGTTGTGGCCATCTGGGGAGTGAACCAGTGGATGGAAGATCTTTCTCTTTGTCTCTCCCTTTCACTGTAACTGTACCTCTCAAATAAAATAAATAAATCCTTAAAAAAAAAAAGGAAGGAAGGAAGAGAGCAAACAAGCAAGCATGGAGAAGAGATGGAATACCTTGTTTCTTTGCCAAGTCCCACTCTCAAATCCTCCATCAGTGCGTCCACTGTCCACAGCTACCAGGAAGCCCTAAGACAACAGAACCTGAGAAACGTAGCTCCTTGCCATTCAGAGATTATAATAAGAGAACAAAATGAACCTTAGAGCAAACAATTTACTAACAACCACGGTAAAGTCCCTTAACCTCTCTGAATCACAAGTGAACAGGTGGGAAAGGCAAGGCGGTGAGCTCCACTGTCCATTCTGGTGAAAAAGTCTGATTCTGAATCCTGCTGCTAGACCCAAGAACAATCAGCAAGCTTTCAGGGAAGACCCAGAATCTCTCATTAACTTCCGAGAGTTCTGAGCTCCCACCCTGATCTCCTTGGGTCCTTGGTTGATTGACTTAACGTTAGGTTAGCGAGAGAGTGGCAGCCATGGTTGGGGCAGCCGTCGTGCAAGGGCTTCTGCTCAAATGGCTCAGGTAGATGGGGTCAAGGCATGCTCAGTTCTGAAAATTCTACCTATTAAGTGTTTTGATTTTTCTCAAAAAGTCAATGTTAGAGAAGGGTTCCAAGAAAGAAAAGTATTGTCAAAGGAAAGGAAGTGTCTTCCCACTGCCATAGGACAAGTATTACTTAGTCCTCCTTCCACTGACAATGGCAGACCCTGAAAAACAAATCTTTCTCTCACCAAAGCAGAATGGAACCCCAAGAGCTCCAGGAAGCCACTTCCAATCCACATAGACTTACAGGTTAAACCTACTGGTCCTGCTTAAAGGGAAATCACAGGCTCCTGTCTACAGACCTCCAAAGATGTTCTCTGCCTTGTGCACAGGGAGAGGGGAAGGGGGATGGCCCCATACTGTGGGCTGAAGTCCTAAAGTGCTAAGGCCAAATGTGAAACCATCTGTGTTCTCATCACCCCACTTGCCAAGGGTGATTCTGGTATTACATGTCTTCCCTCTCCTGCATGGGAAACACATCCTCCACAAACAACAGAGAGAAGAAGCAGTCAGCTCCTGAGCTGCCCTCCAGGGACCATTGCCTCATGGAATTCATACCCCCCACACTGCCTCAGGGTTGGCCACTGCTGTGGTTTGAACAAGATTTAACTCCTAAATTCATGCAGCAGTAAGTTGATGGGACTAAGAGGGTGGAAACTCAAGCCAGTCGTGATGCTTAGGCCTAGTGGGAGACTTCTAAGTCAGTGGAGATGCATCCTTGGAAAGGGGCTCTGAAGAGACAATGGGCTGGAAAAGCTGAGTTGGGCTCAGCCATTCTCTGACCACTGGCCCACTATGTGGTCTTTCCTCCATAAGCACACCTCCCACCACGTAACACTCTGCACCACCTCTGGACTCTGCCAGATGCCCAACCAATGAGGTGACAGAACCCTGAAGTGTAAACCTCCAAAACTACTAAATAAGCCAAAATAAACTTCCTTTACAAGTAATTTGTCTTAGGTATATGATTTGATTGTAATAACAAGCTCACTAATATAGTCTGTTACCTATGGGATATGACTGAACTGAGGGCTTATCACTTCTGAGGTTAGATTATTAAAAACATGCAGCTTTTGTCTTAGGAGTTCTTTACTCTTCCTCCCATTTGTTTGAGAGGAATCCAGCTGCTAGCTATGCATGAGGACACTCAGGCAGCCTAAGAAAGGGTCCACAGAGTGAAAAACAGATTTGTGGCCAACCGTCAGTGAGAAACCGGGGCCTGCAACAACCATGCGATCGCGTGAGAAAGGATTTTCAGCTCTAGTAAAGCCTTGAGATGCCTGCAGTCCCAGCCAACAGCTTAACAGCAACTTCGCAAGAGATCCTGCACCTGAACCACCCGCCTAAGTTGCTCCTTGATTTCTGACCCTCAGACACGTGGAAGCTAACAAATGTTTGTTCTTTTTAAAACTTTATTTAAAGACTTCATTTATAAATTATTTGAGAGGTAGAGTTACAGACAGAGAGAGGGAGAGACAGAGAGAAGGGTCTTCTATCCACCAGTTCACTCTCAAATGGCCACAACTGCTATGGCCAGGCCAATCCAAAGCCAGGAGCCAGGATCTTCTTCCAGGTCTCCCATGAGAGTGCAGGGGCCCAAGCACTTGGGCCACCTTTTGCTGCTTTTCCAGGCCACTGCAGAGAGCTGGATTGGAAGAGGAACAGCCAGAACACGAACCAGCGCCCATATGGCATGTTGGCATCACAGGCAGAAGCTTAGCCCACTATGCCACAGTGCTAGCCACAAATGTTTGTTCTTTTAAGTTGCTGAACTTTGCAGCTACAAGTAACTAACAGAATGTCCTGAGGTTCCTGGCCCAAGTGATATATTAATCAGCTTTTTGTAACTATAATAAAATACCTGACAGAAGCTATTTATAAAGGAAGGAGGTTTATTTCAGCTCACAGCTTTGGACATTCTCAGTTCAAGATCTGCTGGTCCCATTGGTTCAGATGCTGCTGACGGTAGCCATGGAAGATAAGTAGATAAAGGATCCCATGATGAACCAGGAAGCAGAGTGACTGGGCCTACCGAAGGCATTGCAAGCCAACCCTTTCATCAAGGCCACACCCTCAGTGATCTAAGAACCTCCCACTAGGCCCCACCTCTACCATAGTAATAGGATTGCTTCTATCCTCTCAGGACCATTAACCTGTGAATTTGGGGTCTTAACTTTCCCACGAGATCAGAAGCCAAATCTTGTTCAAACCATAGCAAGAGACAAGACTGATGATAAAGCTATTAAACGAGAGCTCAGGAAGGCACAAGGCAGAAGGAGGACATCCACCTCTTCAATTTGTTTATAAAGGGCTTTACTCATCACGTGGCAGGGACAGTTTCATGGACACAGAGACTGTGTCTTCCCAATCCCAAACAGTGTAGTGCTCAAAAATGAGACTGTCTGAAATCAGACTTGAGAATATTTGGGAAGGATGATTCCATGCAGTGGTAAGTATTGATATTAAAGGCAATTTTGACTCTAGGTGCTACACACAAATCAAGGGGAAAATTCTTCCACTGACTTAAATTAAAAACCAGCATGTTGCCAGCATTCTTTCTTCTCCAATTCTGTGTTATTTCCCCTCTGTGTACCTCTAGATATTTCATGCTAGTGCTTCGTCCCCAGAGCTTCCTCTGGATCTCCCACGTGGGTGCAGGAGCTCAAGCACTTGGGCCATCTTCCACTGCCTTCCCAGATGCACTAGCAGGGAGCTGAACTGGAAGCATTACAGCCAGGACTCAAACCAGCACCCATATGGTATGCCAGCATAGCTGGTAGAGGCTTAACCTGCTTCACCACAATGCTTG